TACTTTCAGAATTTGCCATGTCGATGATATATCTGAACGTCGAAGCTCTGGTGTGAGCTTGAGGATCTGAGATTGTTGCGGGCGTTCGGAGTCCGAGATGTTGAAATCATGGGATAGTTGCCATGACTGTGATAATCAAATTATGCTCCTTGATTCAGAGATGACCAGTGAGATGAAGAGGTCGGAATGGTGAGGTACAGAAGTACAGGGAGACGTTGCAGGAAGTTTGCGACCGCTATCGCAAGCTTTCCATTCGATGAAAGCTACACTTTCTAGCAGTTGCTGCGCATCGGGGCTTCCAGACTTACTATGATTGCAAATGATTGGCGTCAGTAGCAAGTTTGTTTGACCTCGATTGCGAATCTGTACGAACAATGTAAGCTGCAGATTGGAGTGACTTTGTTTCGACCCATGCTTCTGATGATTCCATACTCTTGTCCGGCTGTGAAGCAATTAGGGTTTAGAAATGGTAGAACAATTACCGGAGACTTATGGCAAATTGCGGCCATTGTTCTAGTCGTGAAGCGATCGACTGTGAAGACTAGACATCTACCCGAGGAGTGAATGCAGCTAGAGATAAAGGGAACACTCTCGACACTGTTGCTAGGAATTACCCAGGAAAGTGAATACAGCGGCCAAGATAAGCTTATAAAGCAAACGCCAGACACTGGATGAATGACGCGGCTGGTACAAATATAAACAATGAAGGGAGATATGCCATGTCCCGTCTACACGCGTTTGCCGCCATCATCTTTGCTTAGGCGTCCGAAGCATCTTCTTCAAATCTTCATCTTCCTCCTCATACCAGTACAGCAAATTGCACAAGAAGATCTCTTCCACTTCGGCGAGCAAAGTCTCACCCAAAGACTTTTCCCAACAACCAAACAAGGACCTCTCTTTGAATACTCTTTGAACCCCATCAGAGCTAAGCCTCACTGAGTACAAAGTCTCACTCAAGCAAGGCAAAGCTTCATTCAAAGCAAGGCATTCCTCAGTCATGCGTCCGAAAGAATACTCAGCGCAGCCTGGTTCATCCTTGCGAGAACACATAATTGTCGATGACTTAACCAGCAGAGGAACCACTCAACCAAAGAAAAGCTTCTCCTCAGTCACACCTCTAGAGCACCCTTCTAAGGACCCCGCTCACTCCCCACAAGATCCCAAGACCGTCGATACGATCTACAAGATCGTCTACTCGGATCGCCACGAGTACTCACTGAACGGAAACGTGTACATCAGATACGACGTGCCACCCGAAAGAGACAGCACTGGATGGTTCTGCATCGTCGCCTTCCATTGGCAGGATGTCCAGGCCGAGTTCGAGTGCGTCTACCACCCATCGATCAAGCTCTTCGACGACTTCAAACCGGTCGGAGGCAGCTTGAGGGGAGGCAGTGGAGGCGTTCAGAGCGTGCGGATCTCGATGTGGAACTTCGCAGACCGAGGTCCCGATCTCAACGCCAAACACACGGTGAAGGACGACAACGAGAACAGGATCATGCTTGCGGTCATGGTTGTGGGAGATGGGTCAGCTGTGAGGCTGTATGGGAAGATGGTGAGGGGCGGGGAGGACGAGAATGAGGTCTGGCTGTCCGAGGATGAGCGTGGGAGGTTGGGGCTGCGTTCGTGAGAGGGGAAGATCTGGTACGAAGCCACATTACGTATCGCAGGAGGAACCGAGCTGCTCTCGGAGGGCTTTGGCACTGGTGAGGGGTTGCTTGGAATGCTGAAGGGGAACCTTGGTACTGATTGAGGGGAACTTTGGGGCTGATGGAGGGAGGAAGACCGCACTAAACAATGATGAAGGCGTGCAATCATTCGATCGGGGCGAAATTTGGAAGATCTTTACAATGCCAAGAGATTGTCGTGGCAGCTTGAATAACTGCGAGATGATCTAGTGTACCGCCCTGGCAGGGTTTTCCACCACGCTTTTTAGATCTCTGGTAACACCCATGGCAACACCCATGGCAGATGCGCGTCATCGTTTGGCCATTGCAGAGTCCATGAACACCCTAGCAACGCCTCGCTGTAATGTCAAGAGCTCACGCCAGCAAGTGCAGTTGCTGCCGAGTAGTCCGTGGAAGCATGCAGTCATTTCCACGACCGCGGAAATCCTCCACGGCACATGCCTGGGCCCCATTCGGCAGGTCGGACACGCATCTTATTTGCTCAAGTAGACACCAAGAGCTGCGCGGTGTGCCTCTGACGTACCTTGGTAACCTGACGGAGCTGACCGGTGACCATCCTCTGATTTGTTGAGTGACCTGACGACATCCAAGCGTCAGATAATCCAATCACAAAGAAGCATCTAGAGCAGCATGTTCGGGCGATCGCTCGTGCGATCTCATGCACTTGCGCGTGTAAGCTTGTGACAAAGCGGAGGGAAGGGGGTGGACAATAGCGATGAAGGTGGGCACCAATCGGACCGAGACATGGAAAGTCTTCCCTATGCCTGATTTTCCGGTCCCTATTTGGTTCCGGTTTCGGTTAACGCTACGATTGAGAGAGTGGTTGAGAGGTGTCAGAGCGCGCAATAACTTACTATGCGACAACACAAGGAGGTCCACTGTAGCGACTGTGCGCTTTGAATGGGAAAGAAACAAAGCACCTGCTTATAGATACATTAGGTACTGGTGGTACCTAAAACATTGAAACCACAAAGCAAACGGGATCGGGGATCTGACACGGATCTTTTCTTGGCGCAGCGGGTGGCTTTTGCGGGGTACCCGAGGAAGAGAAAAATGTTTTCCCTTGCTCATGACCATCACCCCCTGCTTTGCCCCCTTGCTGCTGATCTTCCACAAATCATCGTCGTCACCGAATCACCGTGCATCGCATCGCATCGCATCGCATAATAATAATCCTAATATTATTATTCTTATTATTAATTTCATCTTCTTCATTTCAAATTGTCATTGTCACTTGCATCGTGAGGCCCGTCTAGTATTGGCTGCCCGCCGCATGCATGTGCCCCCTATTTCCGCCTAGTACGCGCCGGAAACGGGTCTCACTTTTATACGCTCGAGGGGTATTGGATGGTTGTAGGAAATTCAAAACGCACCGTCGGTGCGTCATTGGTCATTGGGCATGTGCATCTGAATCCCCAAAAATGAATCCTTTGGCCATGGGTAGTTGCGGTGTGACCACCTTTGCTGTTTCCAAACCTACACGGAAGGTCCCCAATTTCCTCATTCATCATATATAAGGAGAATGAGAATCACCCGCTTTCTTTGTTTTGCCCCCTAAAGAAAAACCTTTGTTGCATTCCACATTCCTCCTAGTTCCTCTAAAAACGTGAATGGCATCGACCTGCAAACAAACCTCACTTGATCACCTAACCTACATCTACCAACCACAAAGATCTCAATCAAGAACACTCCAATAACCACCATGTTGAGCGGCCATACCTTCCTCCACCTCTCTGCCCTTGCCACCTTCTTGCTGGGTACCGTGCAATCTGCCCCTCTCACCTTGTAAATTACCCCATGTCCCTTGCCTAAGCAATCTCACTGACCAGTCAACAGCCGCCTCGGCAAGCGTGATGTGGCCTTCGACTACCAGAATGACAAAGTCCGTGGCGTGAACCTGGGTGGCTGGTTCGTGCTCGAGCCATGGATCACTCCCTCCATCTTTCAGCCCTGGGCCACGAGCATGACCGTCGTCGACGAGTACACCTACACTCAAACCCTCGGCAAGGACGCTGCATCTGCTGCTCTGACGAACCACTGGAACACCTGGATCACTGAAGATGACTTTATCCAAATCGGCCAGAATGGCCTCAACCATGTTCGGATTCCCATCGGGTACTGGGCGGTTGCTCCCTTAGAGGGCGACCCGTACGTCCAAGGCCAATTGGATGTCTTGGATCAGGCCATTGGCTGGGCTCGAACTGCTAATCTCAAAATCTTGCTTGATCTTCATGGAGCGCCTGGATCGCAGAATGGCTTCGACAACAGTGGCCGCTACGGGCCTGTGGATTGGCAGCAAGGAGATACGGTTAACCAGACCATCACCGCGCTTCAAAACCTCGCTCAGCACTATTCCGGCGACACTGACGTCGTCACGGCAATTGAGCTCCTCAATGAGCCTCTTGGTGGCTCTCTCAACCTCGACGAGCTTAAGACCTTCTACCAGTCCGGCTACGAGACCGTGACCGGAGCCAGCGGCAACTACGCAACCTGCATCCATGACGCTTTCCAAAACATCGAGACCTATTGGAACGGCTTCATGACCCCAGCCTCGTCGGGCGACCAGAATGTGATTCTCGACACTCATCAATATCAAGTCTTCTCGCCAGCTCAAGTCGCCATGAGCCCCTCGGACCACGTCTCCGCCGCCTGCGCTCTCGGCCCTCAACTCGCCGGAACCGACAAGTGGACCATCGTCGGCGAATGGACCGGTGCGCAAACCGACTGCGCCCAATGGCTCAACGGCCTCGGAAAAGGAGCCCGCTATGACGGCAGCCTCGCCAATTCCGGCTCCAGTTACGTCGGCTCCTGTGCCGGCAAAACCACAGGCACGGTCGCGGCCCTGAGTTCCGACGACCAGGACAATCTCAAGCACTTCATCGACGCCCAGCTCGACGCCTACGAGCAGCACACGGGGTGGATCTTCTGGACCTGGAGGACCGAAAGCGCACCGGAATGGCACTTGCAGAATCTGACCGCGGCCGGCCTGTTCCCCAACCCGCCCACGAGCAGGGCTTATCCGGGGCAGTGCGACTCCTAGAGAAGGCAATCACGAGACCGACGTGTTCTGGACGTATCTTGTAAATTACGGACCCGTCAACTCGACTTTCCCCCACCAAAAGCACCCGCAGCATCACCATCACCATCACCTTCGCTACCTAGCTCTCCCATTTCGCCCACACTTGCAACCAACATATCCAGCCATGCCTCCACATCATTTTAGCTCGAGCATCTGCGCTGTTGTCACCACCATCACCGTCACCGTCATTATGATACCCACGTGAGGAATTCGCATGTTCGCTTTCAACCAATCGTTTTTAGCGGAAAAAAATATATACCCCAGCATGCGTGGCGCTATCGAGCTTTTTTTTTTTTTTTTTTTTGAAAGCATGGGGGAGATTTCACTGTACGCTACGTTAGTGGTTGATCGGCTACGGAAAACAATAAATCATAAGTGATCGCGCAAGCCTCTTGACGTGACACTTTCGGTCATTTCCGCACCAAGAAAAGTTCTCTCTAGAAGTAAACTCCGCTCAAGTCTATGCATACATAAGCACCATAATCATAACCATGACGCTATACGGACACGACATCCTCTCGGAACGGGTATAGGTACTCCCAAAAAAGGGCACGCGGTAGCAAGCAAGCAAGCGGACAAGAAAAAGCGCCGCCCGCTCCGGGCCAAAAGCCATAGCTGGAAAACGTCAATGCTGCCTCGCTGATGCCCTCGCGAACGCCGTGCCAAGAGAATATGTTCATAGAAGCAAGAAGAAGAAGAAGAAGAAGTAGTGTTTGAGCGCCTGAGCGAAACCCCGGGAAAAAAAACACCCCCTCAGCAAATGGCCTCAAAGTCTGCCGGTCCCAACGTCTCGGCGAACGTGATGCTGCCGTAGCCGGAGTCTATGCCGTTGGACTGGAGGCTGTCGACCCTCGAAGGCGGAGATGTGCCGTCTGGGTGGTCGACGACGAGTCCATCTCCATCGCCACTCTGGTGCCTTGATCTCGATCGGTGCGCTTGCAGTAATGGTTCGCGTTCATGCCAATGATTCTTCGGGTTTTGGGTTGCTTGCGGCAGCGACTCGTGCGCGTGATATGGAAGACGGGGGTCGAGGTCTTCGCATAGTAGACTTGCGGGACCGTCTTTGATGGCCATGCCGACGGCGAGGACGATGGTGAGTGAGAATTGGAACCAGAGGCGGAGCGTGCGGCGGGATGAAGGTTCGACGCAGTCGTTGCAGGGAAAGAAGTGGGGTTGCTTTCTCGGTTTGGGAGAGGGAGCAGACGGAGGTATGATATTGCTCGAAGGCAATTGTTGAGCTGAGGCATGTGGCGGAGAACGCCAGGAGTCCATTCTCTGATGGCAGGCCCCATAGTCTCTGAAGTAGTGCTCAGCGGCCCTACTCCTGCTCGCTTCAGCCGTAAAATGATGCCAGTCAAAGTCCTGTGTAGTTGTTGGCTCAACTGTTCCGCTGTCAGCCGTGCGTTTCCGTTTACGCCATCGAGTTCCATAAACCAGACCTAAGAGCCACCATCCTATGCCACCCAGCCGCTTGGATCCCTGTGTCCATGCGTTGAAGAGGAGCCGCCGTGCGAGGACAAGAGGGTCTTGTTTCGTTTGGGAAATGAGGTTTGTGAGGCGGGAGAAGATGCCGAAAGCGTGCTGAGTGGTGAGGAGAGTTGATGGGAGAGCTTTGACTGGTTGGGATGATGCGTATGTAGGTGGGCTTGGCTTTTTCTCTCGCTTCAGAATATCCTCCGACTCTATGAGTAGGCGTGTCTGCTTTGGAAATGCGGCCTCTGCAGGTGCCTTTGAAGGGGTTGGGTCAATGCCCATCATGCTTTGGCCGGATTCGGGGCTCTCTTCGGGACTCTCTTCCATATCAACAGGTATCAAACCATCCTCGAATAGCTCGGGGAGGCCAAAGCTTGTGCTTGCCCAGCCTGCTCGATTTCAGCTTCTTCAAGCTCTTTCCGAAGGCTCCTTGGCCGTGACCGTCTTTTATGATCTTCTGATGGGACTTCTCCAAATCCAAAAAGCTTCTCCTCAGATCTCGTAACGACCGAGGGAGAAATTTGTTCGTCGTCCAGGTGTTCCACATCCATGAACCTGCCCTCTAAAGCCTTTAATGTCTGCTCTTGTGCCCAAGATGTCGAGCGATGACGCCCAGGTCGATCAGGAGTAGTGGTTGGTGAGCTATCGACGGGTTTGGATAGAAAGGACGTAGTTGGATCGAGCGAGACTTCCGAGATGTCTTGTCTAGCAGTAGCTTCTATTGATGGGTAGATAGGGGCAGATACAGGTAACGAAGGTATGATAGTTGCGGTAGGTAAGATCAGAGGTCGGAGAGAGACTGAACCAGAGGGAAATTTGCGCATCTTTCGCTGCTTGTTGGCTGATCTGGCGTCGACGTCAGCGAGATGTGGCAAACCCCATGATGCTGGACCAAAAGAACCGCTTGACCGGAATGAGTTCGGTCTTGATGCAGATGATGGCGCAGAGCGGAAGGAACCTGATGTTCTCGATCGACTTTCAGATCCAGACTGCCTAGACTGCCTTCTGTAGTCAGGCGATCGCACGCCTTCCTCATAAGAGGGCGACTGTAAACATTGTCCATCAACATCCTGCACAGCGTCCTCGGGCGACTCCACAACGCTCGGTGACGATTCAATGTTGCTGGGCTGCCAGAATGCAGACTCCGAAACCGTAGACAGTGACAGCCGTACTCCTCCAGATGGCGAAGGAATTCTTGGAAGCATAGACTTTGGCCTTGATGTCCGTTTGATTGGGTCAGCTCGGACTGGTGATGTTGCTGCCGAGCACATGTCAAGCTTGTTCGGTGAGTGAACAAGAAGATTCGTCAAAATCTCAATCCTTTTCTCCAGACCGATGTTCACTTCTTCGAGACCTTCTGCATCCCCAACTTTGACTCGCATGCTCTCGACCTCCCACTCCAGCTCTGCTATTCTTGCATCCTTCAACTCCATGTCATTTTCCAGCGTCCGCAGACGTATCCTCAACTCCATCTCAACCTCTAGACGCTGGTCCCTCTCTTCTTCGACTCTGACCGCGAATTGCTTCTCCCAAGCTGAAAGATCCTGACGTAAATTCCGATTGTCAACAGTAAGTGCCCTCAACTTTGCGGAGCGGAGCTTGTTCGTGTTAGGTGACGTGAGGGAGTCGAGTTTCGCGTTGACAGAAGCTAATTGAGACTCGAGATGCTCAATGTATGTTGAAGCCTCGGAGCTGGCTGATCGAAGATTGATGCGTTTGAGATTCCGACCCTTTACTTGCTTCGTCAATGGGGAACTGAGCTGTGCTGGAGGAGTCTTCTGGTTCCCAGACCCTTCCCTTAGCTTCATCATGTTGACCGGAGTTGCGGCCGAGGCCGCCGGAGAGCAGTTGCGACTTCCTTCCGCGTACCAAGATGTCTCACTAGCTCCATTCATTTCCCCCGTCTGAGTGTTGTCTTGAAAAATGGCACCAAAACCTGGTCTTGGCGATGAGCGCTTCTTTCTTGTGGACTTCTGTATCTCTTGCAGGATATTCACCGGGCTCGGTGGTAGATCTTCGCCGTACATTGATCTCTTCTCTGCGCTCAAGGAGCTACTCTCGTTGCTGACCTGGCGACTGATGGACTCAACCGCCGGGGATGATGTTGTAAATAGCGGACTTATGCGCCGAGTAGGGAAGATCGCTCCTCTGAATCCAGCATTGCGTAAATGTAGTCGCCTAGTCTGGTGACTCAGGCCTTCGTTCTGCTGTTGCGAAGCCAGCGTCGTTGGTGATGTTATTGCGCTATAGCTATGTGACGAGCCAATTGCTTGACTCGATGTAGTACGTCCATCGGGCAACGGATGTGCATGTGTGGAATGCATGCTTGTATATATTTGTCCTCCATTCCTCGACGTGAATAGTCACTTGTAACGCGATTGGAGGCGAAAGGCAATCCCTCTTAGAAGTCCAGTAGGCGGACTCGGTGATCGTCACAAACCCTTAGCCATGATTGAGATTTTGCCAGACGCGGTTTCTGCATGTCGTGGCAGCGAATTGAGTGACAGCTTCATTTTGATCTGTTGGTGTTGAAGATTTGGCCGTTTGGCGCTGCTTTTGTTTGTTTCAGAAATCAGGGGAAATTCGATGGTGGGTATCGACGCTAATGCACGCCACTTTCTCTAAGTTCCAACTCCAAAGTTGAGGCGTAAACAACAGTCAACAGCAAAAGTAGTCCAGCCTATATCTGAAAGTTCCACCTTGAATCAGATTTGATACATGATGAGAGGGTTCGTGGGTTCACTCTACACTACAAAGTTTCTAACAAACTGACGAGGGTAACTCAAACGACTCTACTCTAAGAGTGTGGCCTTTCGCAACCAGCACCAGCAGCATACTCATCTACGCATCATCCGCCAGTACAATCTCAATCAAACTCTCCGTCGCCCCCTCCCCCTTCCAGATACCACTAATCTTCAAGCCCACACTCCCCACCAGATCTCGCCACTGCGTCTCTGTTCGTTCGCAACTCCCAAGGCATACCATCATGGTCCAGTCTAGGCTCGTAATCTTCCAGTCAGCGTCTTGATCACTGACCACGTTCTCATTGATCAAGATCTTCGAATGTCCCGGTTTCAGCGCTCCTTTGAGTTGCGTGAGTATCTTGCGCGCGTTGTCATCGCTCCAATCGTGCAGGACCGAGTGCATGTAATAAGCTTTCGCGCCCCTGACCGGCTGCGGCGTGAAGAAATCATGCACTGTGCATTCTATACCTGGCCGATCGCCCTCTCGAATCGAGGAGATGGCCTGGGCTTGATCTTGCAGGATCAGTCTCCCAGATATGGTAGGCGCTTTGTCGTGGAATTCCGCCAAATCATGTCCCGTCGCTCCACCCACATCCACAATCAACACCTCCCCCTCCCCCACTCCCCTCAAGCGCTCAGTCACGGGATAGAACCCATCGTCCATCCAGTGAGGCCGCCCCATGCTGTAGCCAGCCATGTGGTTCTGGAAAGCCGTCTGCATGCGCGGATCGGCTGCGATCCATTCGAAAATTCCTAGTTCGCTCTTATGGCTGTATTTGAAGACGCTGTCGTCTGTGGGGATGTTGTGGTTCGTGCTGCGGAGATAGGCGGGCAGACGGGCGTGGGAGGGGAGTTGAGCGTCAAAGGTGAAGATTACGCCGTCGTAGAAGATTTGGTCTGTGAGTGCATTGGAGAGGGGGGTTGGGGCGTATGTGTCTTGGAGGGTTTCACGGATGATGAACATGCTGGCGAGGTGTTTGAGCATGCGCCCTGGGCGATGAGGGAATCTTGTCAGTCCTCGGCACTTACTTCAGATCATTCCAGCACTACGACAACTTGGGGGCTCAAGTCTTGCAAGAGGAAGCATTCATTGGCTTCACCAAGGCCTGCCTCTAACGGTCTCAGAGGAACTCACGTCCTCAACCCCCATGAGTCCGAGATGAACCCTCCACTCGACCATTTTTTCGGAAATCGGGGAGACACACTGGTAGTCACTCACCAATTAAAGCAGAATCCGTCTTGGTAGCATCGGCGAGCTGCTGGCTATTCTTTGCCTTGCCGTCATCTGCTGCTAGCTTTTCGAATAAGCCTATGTCAATGCTTATCCGGATAGTGGCCGTTCTGGCTGGCTCAGCCCAGCCCATCCATAAGATTGACTCCATAGGTGCTTCCAGAGTACTGATTAAGGCTCTCGCTTTCGCTATCATTTCTTGACGCGTGCTGTCGCCGGTCTCTAGGAGGGATGTTTGGAGAGAAGATAGGTCTTTGATGAGCAACGATGCCCGGTCTACTTGTTCGGCTGCTGGGGAAAACATCCTTAATTGAACTTGGGATTGTACAGTAGGTCTGCTTTCTGATTGAAAGTTTTCAGGAAACCTTTGGCTTCAATGGGAGGGGAAAAAGGAATAAAAAGGTCGCCAAAAACGTTAGCTGACCTTCGCTTAAATCCAGAACAGCGCCATAATGTCAGACCAACACAATGGCCTTGAGGCTGAGTAAGACTTGGTACCAACGACGAAGGTAGTTTCGGCCTTAGATCCTTTAGGTGCTTGTATGGCACCGTTGAGCTTACGCAGTGCTCCCAATGGTTGATCCGAATCGAAGCTATCTACACGGTCCGTGGTCTGTCCGTGGTCTGAACTGATCTGGATTAGTTTGGACTGACCGAAACTCAATTAGGTAGGTAGGTAATATCTCGAGATAGTCACAACGCTATTCTACGCGCCTGTCATTCTTGATGTCGGAACCGGTAATATCTACGAGTAAAGCGATTGCTAGATCCGTAGCAAAGAATTTTCTCCAGGAATAAAGTCCATTTCTTCTCTCAACTCTCATGTCGGTTTGCGGAGTCCTCAGACAGCATTGGAAAGTCTTTGTGAGAGCTCAAGCTGTTCAAGTTCTGAGACCTGATATGATTGACAGTGCTTGGAAGAATAATAAGACTGTGCCATGAGATGGCGTCTGTACAGATGAAACTCAGGATCACGCGAATCAGGATCAATGTAGTTGTCATGTCGGCCTACTTTATTACTGGTTTTGTTATCTTCTGGCCTGCAAATCACATTCTGCTTTATTATTCACAATCTTACTGTGCGGCGTCCAACCCGGGTCTATCTCTGACCCCGGGTCAATACGCGTGGCGAGCACAAGAGCCAAACATCAATCTCCAACATGAGTGAACACCAGCGTGCAATACTATCTCGACTCTCGGTCACAAGGCTTCAATGTTTACAGATGTCATCTTGATAGGGAACAACCAACGCCAATTCACGCAATGTTTCAGTAGTGTGCACCACTTTGCCACAAACGGTCTCCAGCTGGGAATGAGCCCCCTCTAATGGCCTAGACGATTT